GATTTTAGGGTTATTAACAACGTTTGTGTACTCAGACCAGTAATATTTGGGGTCACAAGGTTTTGCCACAGATATTTTGTGGGTCAGAAGACAAAAAGTTTGGGAACCACTGCTTTAGAGCAGCATTTGTAAGCTTGATTCTCAAGTAAGATAGCGTGCAAAAGCTAAAAAGAAAACAAGCCCTCAGATGGTAATAGAAAGCTCCAATTTGTTTGAACTTTTGTGCTTCTGAAAATAATGGATAAAAATGGATCTAATTAAAAATCCAGTGACTCTGCAGAGAAAACAAAACCAGTAAAGCTTGTTTTTTTGTCCCCCGTTGGTTTCATCCCCACACAGACCCTCCAAATGTTGGCTGGGATAAGTGACACTGTCCTCAAATGTCTATTTCTGCTTAAAAATGATTCCTCATTGATTGTTTTTCTATACTTTTACACCACAGGGTAACTTAAATTTGTACAGAGAAAAGATATGCACTTTTTAATAAAGCACATTTTCATTTTTCTTTTCTGAAAATCAAGAGCTGCAGTTTCCTGTATAACCTTGATGATGAAGAGGGTTGCTATTTTTTAAATCCTGCTCTCCTTGGGTCAAAACGACCATGGAGGCCTCAGTTTTGAAACATGCCTCAGGGGTCATTTTGACCCAAAGAAGCAGGACGGTTAAGATTGTTACAGTACAATGAGATGTAGCAGATTTGTACGTAAACGGGACTATACATTAACTTTGATGCTCTGGACTGCCTTGGCGTGTGTTCTACGCAGCCAATCTGAGCTGCCACATCAGTTCTCACATCATGCAAAAAGAAAAAAAAGAGAGAAACACAAACTCCGCTTTCTCTAACAACCCTGTTAAACTCAGAACAAAACACGAAGGGCTCAGTTCTGTTTGATGATATGCATCCTTGAGATATTTTAACAAGCCTTTTTTTTCTTAACAAGGGATTTTGAGACTGTTGGAAAAAGTCATGGCTCATTGTCATGCTTAATCTTCGGGTCAATGACACTATCACCATGCCAACCCTAGCTACTGCCATGGAAACCAGCTTTATTGAACTGATGGTATAAAGTCAAACCCCCACCCTCCTGCCAAGGGGTGGTTGGTGGTTTACAACCCTGAACTGCCAACAGTCTTGTGCTCAGTAATAACCCCCTGAATCACTCAGAGCCCACGTCCTGAAGGGTTTGGACGTATCCTTTCATCGGCACACCTGATTTGAATCGATGGAGAATTCACAGGACTTTTCACTAATTGATGGAAAGATGTTCAAGAAATTATCTCCTTCCAATCAGCTGTGTTGGAGCAAGGAAATGCCCAAAAACAGAGGCCTCTGAGGACAAATTCTCACTCATATAAAGACGTTAACAGAATATTTCAAAATAAGGATGACTGTCACCCAATGTGGGCGATAATGTCTGTTAGCAAAATATCTCATGGACCAGTGGTTGGATTTTACATAAACTAGCCAAATAATCATTCAAGGTGCATCTAAGAACTGATTATATTTAGAGTCAACCCAACTTAAGATTGGCTGCTACAATTTTTCAGCCATAGCAAACACAAAAATGGATACAATGAAGTCAATTTTACAGATACTGAGCTGAAATTTGGTAGAAGCTCAGAATTAACACATAATCTCCTTTCAGAAGACAGTGTTTCCCCCATCATTCAATGAGGAGGGCCCTCCACCATCCCTATCTAATCCCCCACTACCCTGCAGAGATGAGAGCTCCATTACTTCTGGACAGGGAGCAGAGATTATGGCTTCCCAAAACCAGTAATGTAGTGGAAACATTGGAAGATGCCTCATATCGTTACAGATGTGTGCTCTGACCACCTTGAATCATTTAGAAGAAACTCAGAGGTGGAGACACGGACTGAAACACCCCTGTCTCTAGCACCTCTAGAGCACCAGGCAGTCGTGGACACGGTACTGTGGATCTCTGAAAAGGTAGGCCAGCTTAGTGCTGACTGCCATCTTTGGGGACCACCCAGCCACGGGTTTCTGAAGTCAAAACACCAGAGCCAGAATCCTTTTGGATTAAAGTGCATTTGAGCATGGCAAGACAGCGTCTCCCTCGTGAATTCTGCCAGAGGGAGCACCAACACGAAATGGACCGTTTGTCTTCTAAAGGAGCCTATGGTCTGAGTGAACAAGGATCTTTGTTTCAATAACAGCAAGGTAGAGGGCAACATGCATCCTTTCAAGGAAAGCATAGTTTCATTATCATAAGACCTTTTTGCACTGCAATGCTTGGCTTCAGGCCAAGGCATTGCAGTGCAAAAAGGTCCTGCTTATTGGGGTGGAACAGGGATAGCCCTGGCTTATCCCTGTTCCACCCCAATTTCTGGAACCCCAAGACCCATGGTTCCTTCCAGGCCGGGATGCTCGGTCCGATTTGACGTCAGCTACTGCTGCTCATCGGCTGGTTCACTGATCAGGTTTACATCACATAGATGACAGGAAATTTATGTGAGTTGTTTGCAGCTGCTAACGTTTTTTTCTCTCTCACAAATTTAACTACACAACAACAACAAGCTAACATTAGCTACCATTAGCTTATCGTTCTCTGTCATCCCGCCCTCTCGTTTTAAGCATCATTTCGCTGGATGGTCTGGTTCAATAGTCTGTACTTTTCCTTCGAGTTTAGTGTGGTCCATTATATTTGTGTTGCAAATAAAATGAAATAAGATTTGTGCGTTTTTAATTTTATGATCCCACCCACATTGAGGCTTCTCTCTGCTCAGTGCAAACACAACTAGGGTCGGGGTTGAATAAGGCCAGGGTCGCTGACTGGAGCTGGGGCTGGCCAAGCCGGGCCATTCAATGCAAAAAAGCCAATAGTTGATTTCTAAACTGTGGAAATATGTTTTTTTTTTCTTTTTCTGGTAGTAATTTGCATTCAAACTGTTCCAAACCAGTCATTATGTAGGATCATAATGTGCTTCAGATGGAAAATTCTCGACTCAGAGTTACAAAACCAGAAAATAACCCCTGCAATCAATGCGCCTTCATCTACAATATCAAAGCTTTTTTTTGTATCATGCAGGACAGTTCTTTGTAGTTCATTGAGCAGCCATATAAAATACCACAGAGAGATTAAAAAAGGTTTCCGGTATTTGCACAGATCCTCTGTGGCAGCAACAAAAACACCTACAGCACACACGTCCAGATGGATTTTCTGCTCCCTCTGTTGCTTTTCGACAAGATCAATAATCAGTATGGAAGTAATTTACTTTCCCACAGCGTTTCCCGTCTTTACGGGCTTTTCTCTTTTGATTCACAGACCAGGCCTCGGTGACACCGGCTATAATCTGCCGGAGCCACATTTGTCTGAGCGACATTCTGACGACACCTGAGTGGGTGAAGGTGATGGGAATGGTGCGAAAAGACAATGAGCGGCTGATTTGTGTTTGAATCGGGCAAAGAACAAGGAAGAAAATTACAGAAGAAAGGAGGAAAATGGAGAAAATGAAACGCAAAGAACAGACTAAGAGATTGCCTGGGCGGTAGGCCACGCGGCTACGCGTGTACTCCCACTCCTGTTCAAAAACAAGGATTTCTATGATATGCTTGATGGTTTCTCTCGTCCTCACTTGTACATTTTAAGTTACCGCCTTGTAAAAATAGACAACCGCTCCTCCAGACATGCCTTAGACAACCTCAAACTGTCAAAACTAGGATTAGTGAAAATGCCACCAGCACTATGAGCTCCTTGGCTTTGGAAGTGGGGCTGGTTGGCCAGCCTGGTGGGGATGAGGGTGGGGTGGGTCGATCCTCAGACCGGCAGCAGCTGGCTCTGATGTGCCAGAATGGGATGGTGCAGCCATCATGGGACACTTCAGCATGAAATCTTACATTCATCACAGAAGATGAATCACTAGAATATGCTATTAAACATTTAAGTAACCCAGATGGAAAAGACACAAGCGTGTGCAACTTCTGAGCACTAATCTGGGGCTCTGTGTCAAACGTGAACATCTGAACAAATAAAATAGCAAGAAGAGAAAGATGTGGCTGCTGCAAGGATCGTCAGGATTTCCTTCACACACGTTTTGTTCCCCTTCAAAACAGCTTACGCAGGAAGTGCTGCACACTTTGGATCGAGCCTGTTAAGATGATCACGTTTGAAGTTCATGTACTTTTTTTTTAGAAGAGCATACTGTCGTTCGTAGAAAAGCGGCAACAGGAATCTAAAGTCTGTCCTTCAGAACGATGCGCTTTTCTGTTCTGACGTCCTACTTCTGTCAGTGAAGCATCTGCGGGCTGTTGTCTCCTCGATTTGATGAGTGTGTGATGTCTCTGGATCCTTTGTGGCTTTCACAGAGACGTGCCTGTGAAGGATTTCAAACCTGAGACGGCTTCAAAAACTCTTCAGCGTGGCTATCATGTCAGATGTTCGTGCGCACGTTTGTGTAGAATTTCATTTCTGTACAGAATGGATCATCTTTGCTGAGGCCGAGTTTGTTTCTCCCGATCGTCATGGTTTTGTGAAGCCTTTATGGTGTTGATTTATGAAGGATGTGGATCCTCGTTGTGGCTTTAAATAAACTGGAAAGGTTTTTTTTTCAGCTCTTTCATGTGCATCTTCTTTATCTCTGATAAATATTTATTAAAAAGCTTTGCTGCACTCCTAACATCTCCTGTGGCAGACAGTTAAGAGGAGCGTTAAAGGAGGGAACGTGTTAAATTCAGATTTTACTTAGTAGATGCCAAACAAGTCAGCTGTTAGGAAAAAAATACCTGTAAAATGTGACACTGTGGTGTTTTTTTTTTTAAGTTTTGTCAAGTATCAGATAGAAAAAGCTAAACCTGAGCAGCATTTAGAAACATACTGTAAATCCAGTGCTCATCTTTTACCTATAATGACAATCTCTTCCATCGGAATAATCAGTGTGCATTGCCAATGCACACTGCGGAGTACTTTGAACCAAACAGGACTAAAAAAATAAATAAAACAAAGAAATACACAACACTTTGTGGAACATGAGATACTCACAACAAAGCACGGTCCGGCTGACGTCTTCAAACACTCTTCCAGAAGTTTCATTCGGAGTCTGTGCAGCTCTGGACTGTCCCACTCCTCTGGATCTACTCCCCAGTACAGGTCCACCACCTGAACACACAAAAACAGCCTTTCTTATCATAGTATGTCATATCCAACAGGTTCTAATGCAAAAAAGTTTAAAGTATTGGGGAATTTTGTCTTAATATTCAACAAAAATATAAAAATTAATACTTTAATCACTCTGCTGCCATTGGGTCCAAATGACCGTCAAGGTCTTAGTGAGGTCCAACGAGTCATTTTGATGCCAGGGCAGCAAGTGAATTGAAAAAAAAAAAAAACCCAGAGAAACCAGAAGGTTTTGTGAGAATCATCTGAATAAAGCTTAAGGCGAAACCACTTTTGACATAAACACCAATATCTGCTTTGTGCCACCTACTGTACCCCCAACCCCCAACACCCACCACCCTCAGAGCGCACCAGGAAGACACACACTTACACACACACTCTCTCTCTCAACACATTCATCACAAGTTTTGGCAGTTGAGACAATCCCAACTGTAAACACGCCACAGGGGGGGTATCTCCTGCAAGGAGGAGAGAATCGTCAGGAAATGCCTGCGAAAGTGTGTGTGTGTGTGTGTGTGTGTGTGTGACACCACGCTGGTGCAGCATCTAACAGGACAACAAGCAGCCCTCCCCGCAGCTTCCTGGCTCCCCGACAGCGTTTACCCTGCAGGCTTGGATGTGTGGCTCACAACACTGGGAATTATTCCTGACGGCCCGGGAGCCGTCGAGGATGAGCAGTTTAGGTAAAAGATGGAGGGGTGCAAATTGCCTGATGGCCTTCACAGCCCTAAAAACACACATGCTTCATGTTTCTGTAAGTGATGCATGTGGTGCTTCAGGAGTATTAAGTTTCCGTAAATTTAGCCAGACAAAGTGACTGGCACATCTGCAGTTTGGTCAGGAAATGCAGTGAAGGGCAGGCCGTTTTACCCGAGCGATGCTGAAATCGAGTGTGGAACTTAACGTTGACAAGTGGGGGGAGCAGCAGGGGGAACTACACCTCTGTGCTTGTTAAATTTCTGTACTACTGTAAAAGGAGACAGGTGTCATTATCAGATATGGGCTGGGCATGGACAGAGTGAACATTGAGCTGACTTTGTTACTACCCCATCTCTGGTCTTTAGACAGCCCGTCTACATTTAGAGCTTCATTCACCCAAGAAGGACATTTGGTGACAAATAAGTTTGTTTTGAGTCCACAAAGATGCATTTTAAAAACTCCAAAATGGTATTTTTAAATGGTTTTCAAAAATGAATTTTTTTTTTAAACACCCCAGATAGCAACATTTGTCTGGTCCAGTTCTGGCCCACACAAAGCAACACTCGACCCAGATATCCCAAAGAATGATGGGCCTTTGGCGGCCCGGATGTGGTTTGCCAGAGGTGGTCCATGCATGGGCCAGTCACACATAAACCAAATCACAACTGGGCCAGATGTGGCATTGATAAATTTGGGCCACAAAAAAAAAAGCTACAATTTGTAACACAATACTGATAAGCTAACTAAAATAGTTTCCGAATAAACTTGTTTTGGTGATGGACAATATGTTTGGGACTTGGCAGCCGAGAGATAAATAGTGAAAGTGTGGGATCAAAATGACACTTTGACTGATTCAATGAAGCTACACGTCTAATCCCTCACCACCAGAAGACCATAACGTAACAACAAAAAAAGAAAAAACATTCCACACAGCGGCATGCACGCTTGATACACATCCTTCACTTTGGCTTGTTGTGAAATCCTCCCAGTTTGGCACGTCAGTCACGCTGTATCAGTGTCACTAATCTACTTCCAATGCACACATTTGTGGTGGCGTTGGTGGTGGTGGTGGGGGATTGTGACGGGCCATGTGTTGACAAGGACCGAGGGGGAAGAGGAATGAAGTGAGATGAGGGACCCTGATTGCAAAAAGGTTGCAGCAGGTGATTGGGAGGATGCACAGTAATTAAAAGCTAAATGAAGACATTAGTCATTTCTATTCACGCCATGCATGTGGTGGGGATTTTCTGATTAAATTTGCCCCCTCACCTGCTGGGCCGAGGTATGAAGTGTTGAAGGAGATGGGAAAAAAATGGGAGGAGAGGAGACAGGACCAGAAACAAGATATTTATGCAAAGGAAGCAAGGGCACATAAACGAAATAAAAAGAGAGAAAACAGTCAGAGGGCTTTTCAACGAAGACTCCCTTGAGAACGGATTTTTTTCCTTGGGTCTTTTCGTCCTCCTGTGATTTTCTTTCCACCAACTTTGCGGCTCCTCTCTCTTTGATAACCCCCTTCCCTCAAATTACAGTAGTAGGGGTGTCGTTGCTTACATAAGAGTCGAAGCTGCTTCCACTAAGCAGCTTTATGATGCCCTTGCAAAGTGTTTACCCGTGGCAGGTCAAGTACAGGAGACGACTTTTCCTTTCGTTTACTTTTTTTAATTTATGGATTGATAGATTATTAAACCTTGGGTCTCTGCCCAAGATGCTGAGAAAGAAAGGGCATCACGTCAAGCAGGAGGAAAGTAGAAAAAAAAACACATCAACTGAAAGAGGCTAAGGCAAAGAGTAAAGATACAATATAGATATTAGTTTGCCTTAAACTCACAATTACAGCATATTTATTAAGAACATGCTGTAAATCCTTGGAAATATTAAAGAAATTTGAAGGTTTTAGCAGCAAATCTAACGCCATATATTTATATACATACTGTATATACATTTGCAGAGATCTGAAGCACACAGATCAGATGGAGGTGCGATGAAGTGAGACCTGATCATAGTTACTGATGTTCAGTTAAAAGCAAAATCCACTTTTTTTGTCCACTGAATACATTTTGTTGTGTACTTGGAATCTTTAGGAATGCAGAAAAATTTGAAGTTAGTCTCTCCCAGAGCTGCGTAGACATCTTTATATTCTGTCTGGGTCAACCCGTTCAGTTTTCTATATTTTCTAAGATGTTTTCTGAACTAAACCTCACAGTATTTGCGACAGAACTTCGAAGTGAAGTCTGGACTCAAAACAATTTCTTTGTCTTGGACTGCTTGTTTGGATTTGAAGAACCAGCCTTAAAATGAGTTGATCTGAGACACAACCCAAAAAAGGGGTGAAAGAGGGGCTTGTGGAGTTGCGATAAGGAGGAATTCAAACCAAAGTGTTACAGTTCCAATTTGTAGACCTCAACTTAATAATTTAAATGTGGGGGAAAAAAAGGATTTAAAAGCACATGTCTCCTTTAATCAAACATATTGGATTAGCAGCACCAGCTAATCTTAATTCTTAATCTTAATTTCTATAAAAGTTGTAGAAATGGACTTAGTCATTCCCACGTTACCTCTTCACTTGGTAATAACTATATAAGTTATGTTTTGATAAGAAAATACTGTATGATTGATACTCCTTTTTACTGAGACTCTTTGAAAAGCAGACTTAGTTTTTTAAGCTGATAGGCACATATTAGAGAAAGGCCTTCCTAAAGTTTGCTGGCGTAAAGTTTTTAACACCAGATGGGGATGTTTGGGAGCTTAATGAGAGCACGCACAGCTTGGGAACCCCTCGAAGCAATAGGTAAACTCCCACCTCATCACCAGCATAAACATGAGATGAACTCAAAGCCAACTGATTAAACCAACACAGCAGTAGATTCAAATACAACTTTAAGGTTGGAAAAACGAATAAATCAACCAAGTTTCTGCATCTCGTTGGACTGAGCACTGCTGCCACAGACCCCAGATGATGAATTTCAATGATAATAGAGTACATTGGGTAAGTTGTTCTGGCAACTGATTTATTTCTCGCAGAAAATCAATCACTTCGCTTTGATTGGGAAGTCAGGATACGCTGCAGTTTTTATAATGAATTAGAGCCAATAAGCCGAGATACATTTTCAGCTCTCAGCTGCCTTGTAGACCAATCGATGCGGATATTTCTCCAGACGCCAAAACCTTTAGTGCCTTAGAGGTGGTACATCTCGGGGCACACAGGTTTTAACTGACCGCCTCCACTTTGACTATTTAATTTTTCTTTTCTGCACGGAGAAAACATTGCAGGAAATGTATCATTTGGTTTAAAAAAAATCACGCTTTCCAACTGAGTTAAGTGCAGACTGCAGTGCGGGAAGGTGTCTCTTAGTCAGACTGGCCGCTGGGTGGAAGAAGGCTGAGCTGATCTGAAAACACTCGGGGGCAAGAAGTGGAGGAGAAGAAGTGTGGGCGTCACTGGAAGGCATATGGAAAGCAAATGGGAGCATTAACACAGTTCATGTTTGCACTTAACCAGATTGCTAAGAAGATTTACTCGCATTTGGCTCAGAACGGATAAAAAATGTCATCTTTTCGTGAATTCTGCCCACTTTATTCAGCTTCCCCTCAAACCCTACTGTAGGTGTTCATCAGATTTGACAGAAATGGGTTTCCTGCTGCAGCTTGCTTGTGACAAACAAACTGACATGAGGGTGAAGTAATGATACATCCTCTTCACAAAATAAATGTTTCTCTCGTGGGTTATGTACAGTGGTTTGCAAAAGTATTCATACCCCTTGAACTTTTCCATATTTTGTCACATTACAACCACAAACATAAATATATTTC